TAGTGGTTATGCAGAGGAAATAGACATTAGTAACTATCACAGCTTGATATGTGAACCCATCAAGTACCATAAATGCCCCAAAAAATTATTATTGTAAGATAACCACTGGGGGTTTGGAAAGTGTTAATTTCCATAGGTTTTACTGAAAGACAGGTTGCATTCCTGAGGGGCTTTTTGAAAGTTGGCAGTCTATAGACATTCAAAGATGGTGGGTACTTCCACAGAGTTGCACTAGCAGATTTAAAGCATCTTTTTGTGCTCATTTTACACATCTTTATTCTCTATTCTTATTTCAGCCTGTTTTACTCTGTCATTTCTCTGTTATACTTCATGCCCTTCCCTGCTATCAGATCTTACCTTAATCAAGATTACTGACTGTGATTGCATTAGAAATGATCATCTAATTTGTTTTTATCTAACAATAATAAATATTGCCCAGTAAGTCCGATTGTCATAATAAAATGGGGATTTGGGGGTTTCAGCATAATAATTTCTATATATTTGGATACTAGAAAGTGAGAGGAATCCATTGAATCGTTGATGGATTCAATGGATTCCTATCACTCTCTCGTATCCAATGATGTAGAAATCATTTTGCGGAACCCCTCCCACTAGCAACAATCTAGGCCCTGATATTAGTGAAGGGCATGAAAGGTATCAAGGATAAACAATGAACAATATACAGGGTAAAAAATAAACAATATACACAGAATCGATCACTATGTTGTCTAATGCAGGGGGCTATGCACCATGCAAACCCCCCATGGAGAGGTACTGCTCCCTAACCCCCGCAACTCAAAGAATCCTCCATGTATCCATGACAAGTGACATACAGGAGCGCCTGAAGGCAAGTCTATCCAATGCTGTCTTCTGTGAATATGTGGAGGATTAATCGTTTTCCTGATTGAAACTTGGGGGACATGATGGGTCTCTGGGGGGGACAGCCCCATGCATTAGAAAATAAGGTAACTGATCCATGTATATCATCTATATTTGGTAATTTTATAGCTTATGTATGCCAATCGGACATCGGCAATATTAGTATCGTTGGATTCCTCTCACTCTATACAATGCAAATATGTAGGCTTTATGACGTGGAAACCCCCCCGTCAGCGACAAACTTGGCCCCAATAGCAGGGGAGGGCATGACAGGTTCCAGGGAAAATGCAGGGTTAAATAACACTAATAATATAATCCACAATGAAAATAACAATGATAATTCACATTACTTTCCATTAATAAAGAAGTTGTCTTCAATAATAACGAAATTGTTTCATTTTCAAAATAAATAAAAATAATAATATAACGAGGTAAGATTCACACAGGAGCTGCAGGAGTACTGACCAAATTCTCCACTACGCATGCGCGGGGTCTCTCGTACCTGTACTGTTCCTGTTATCTCGCCTGTGACATCACGGCTAGTGTCACGATTTCATAGATCAATTGTCTGGCGGTTGATTTAATAGCCAATGGGAAAAGAATTCACAAGGGAAACAGCCAATGAATGAACATTAGCTAAAATAGAAACCATGAAAATCAATTTTCAAATTAGTCTCACCATGATTTCCGTGTGTGCAGGATGTCGTATCAAACCATTTCAAGTTATAAAAAATTATTTTGAAGACGATGAGGCTAGCTTGAAACTATTACATGAACACGGAGTTCCAGCCTCTAAGTGCCCTGCAACCTGCTGTCGCGTCGCTCGTGCTCACGCAGACCGCTCCGGCGCTCCCGCTCTCGCAAGCCGCTCCATTGACATCGAGGACCCTCACCCTGGCCCCTCCTCTGCATAGGTATGTCTTAGATTTATTTTCACTGAAGTGACTAAATGTACAGTGCGTATGAATGGCATGAGGAAGAGCCCAATGCTGACTTTGTCCGATGCTCTCTCCTGCTGTGAATACATGGAGGATTATTTGTTTACCTGGGCGGGGGGGGGGGGCAGCTGCCCCCCCCCCCCCCAACAAGGGGGTCGCAGGGGGCACAGCCCTCTGCAGTGTATAATTTTCATAACTACAGCTGACATGCGGGACCGCCCGATGCCAAGTCTGTCCGACGCTTTCTCCTGCCGTGAATACGTGAAGGATTCTTTGCTTTCTGGGGTGGGGGTTGGGGAGCAGTAGCCCCCCATGGGGTGGGGTGGAGGGGATTGCAGGGGGCACAGCCACCTGCATTATACAATATTGTGACTAAATCGGTAACGTGATTACAGCAGAGAATGAGAATTTGTGCAACTCTGGTATGGAAAAGACAACATTTCCGAAACAAACACCAGAATCACCAGAATCAAAACAATAGAAATTGAACGAATCTAGTTTCCTCCTGAAGTTGGTGGCGTCTTTTTCCAAATTTACCCAATTTCCCTGGTACCTTTCATGCCTTCCCCTGTTATCGGAGCCAAGCAAGAATGTGGTGGCTTGGGGAGTTTCTGCCCAATAATTTCTATACATTTGGATAGTAGAGTGTGAGATTCCATAGATAAGAAAATCATTACAATCCGTTGGCCAGAACTATTCTGTAAGGTCAGCAAGATCCGTTGCAACTTCCTATTATTCTACACGTTTAATGACTGCTACTTACGGGAGCATGAGGCAGCAGCACAGGGACTTTCTGCCGTAAACCGCCTATCACTGCAACCTAAATGGTATGGATAACATGATTGATTACTTTTTCTCTATGTAATAAGGATATTCTTTAACGTTTTCGGATATGTCTAAGGACCAAGTATCAAAATGTTACGACTTTTAAAACATAATTATTCACTATCAACTGAAAATTATAAAATAACCACCTATTTCCCTCAATACAATGTACTGCTACATCACATTGATAAGAATCGATGACACGTGTCTGCAAAAGCTCGTCCGGAGATAACCACTCATGGCCTAATCAGCATCAGCTGTTGCCTCCCATGTTGTTTACGTCCGGCCGTTCGCGGAAGGGAAGGAGGCGGGATCCGCGACGGCCTCCACGACGAACGGGTGGGAGTCGGGGCAGCGAGGTGGTTGAATAAAACACATACATACGTACACACACATATTTATACACATGTAGACACAGACACACACATATGTATAATACATGCACACACCGACACACACAGATGTGCATAAACACACACACCGACACACAAAGATGTGCACACACACACACACACACACACATACATACACATACATACATATATATATATATATATATACATATATATATATATATATATATATATATATATATATATATATATTATTATATGTATGTATGTATGTATGTATGTATGTATGTAGTATGTATGTATGTATGTATAACATACACACACGTTTATCATGTACACACACATACGGAGATGGAATCGAGGACGATTCCGAAACTGTTGTCTCATTTTCATCAGTAAAGCTAGTTTGTGCATTGTGCTTTTTTCTACCATAGTATCAAGCACGGTAGAGTTTTTCCATTCAGTTCCCTCACTTTGCAGGCCGGTAACTGCAAGACGAATGCTCTACCGCAGAGCTGCGCGACCCACTAATAACTGTGTGCAACTAGGAGCTAACTAGCTCCAAGCATTCGTCTTGCAGTTACCTGCCTTCAAAGTGAGGGTTTGAGTCCCTATCGGAGAGGTTATTTATTCATCATATCAGTGCGGTGTTTATTCCATTTTCATATATATATATATATATATATATATATATAATATATATATATATATATATATATATATATATATATATATATATATATATATACACATACACACACACATACATATATACATATAATATATATATATATATATATATATATATATATATATATATATATATATATTATATATATATATTTATATACATATTCATATGTATATACATACTATGTTTTGTCTTAATCATCCACTTTTATCAGCATTTATTCATTTTCAAAATCAGTTTTGTTGCTCTCAGTATTGTATATGGTTGACCGATAATGATTTCAATAAAGTAGTTACCAGATGTCAAACTTTATTATATTTATAAGTGATACCATATTCATCTGTGCCAGATTCAACCCAGCATTACTTACGGGCGAGATTGTGAATCACGGTTCAAATGCTTTTATGCTGATGATGATTGAGGAGTGAGAGTGAGTTTGATTAATTAATGAAGTTATGCAAATTTCACTGATAAAATTTGTAATTAGTAAGACATAATATTGTTTCCATTATTATCACTTTGTAGGGATTGAGGATGTGAAAGTCTGGCAAAATTTCACATTTTATTGTAAACGAAAATAAATGATCCAACTGGACATAGTAAGCAAGGGATCTCTTACAGTGTAAGCCATTTAGAACTTAAAGGTGAATTTTTTTTTTTATGTGATGCAAGCACAGCGCTTGCTAGAAATGCATCCTTGCAAATGGAATAGAACTTGAAAAAAAAAACAATTACCTAGGTTAATAGGTTTAGTGTATAAGCATGGAATAGATGCTGACTATATAGGAAAACTACATTGGCGTAGAAAAAGTTACAACCCCTCTGTATGTATTGTGTACAGGGGGAAACTGAAACGAAAATCCTTGCAAAAACATAATTTTTTTTTTTATACCAAACTGTTAGTGCTGAAGCCTTTCTGTCAACTGCCTTCCGTGTAAATTAAACTGACTGTTTCTGAATAACTTAGTTCGACTTACTTATTACACGTGTTTGCAAACTTTTGCACCGCGTCAGCCCTCTCGTGCTCGCGATTGTTTCGCGAATCTCTACTGCCTTATTCGTTTTCCAAGGAATCTCTACTGCCTTCTTTGTTTTTGCAGGAATCTCTACTGCCTTCTTCGTTTTCCAAGGAATCTCTACTGCGTTCGTCCTTTTCCAAGGAATCTCTACTGCCTTCTTTGTTTTTCCAGGAATCTCTACTGCCTTCTTCGTTTTCCAGGAATCTCTACTGCCTTCTTTGTTTTTCCAGGATCTCTACTGCGTTGTTTTCCCAAGGAATCTCTACTGCCTTCTTTGTTTTTCCAGGAATCTCTGCCTTCTTCCTTTTCCTCTACTGCTTCTTTGTTTTTCCAGGAATCTCTACTGCCTTCCAAGGAATCTCTACTTGGGATCTCTACTCTTCCTTTTCCAAGGAATCTCTACTGCCTTCTTTTTTCCAGGAATCTCTTTTATCTCGTTCGTTTTCACTTGCGGAGCGGCTGCTGGCGCCCTTGCCTTTCCGACTATTTTGCTTGTCATGACGCCGGCCTTTGCGCCTGTCGGGTGCGGCCTTCTTGTCGGTGCCTGCCCTGCGCTCCCCAGGTAAGTCCACCGTGGCATGGATGGTCATGTCATCGTGGAATCGGTCTGCGTGGGCCTCATTCGCCCAATGAAATTGCCTGGAACACATGCAGCTGTAGCAGATCGGGTGCTGGCCAGTCCCCGGGGTGCAGTTGACGTTCAGGAACAGGATGAAGACCTCGGGGCCGCGGGGGCGACCCTCGCCCTCCATCTCCTCTTCGATAGGCTTCTTATCATTGCGTTTATTGGCGCCCGAGCAAGACTTCAGGTGGGCGACGTCTCTCGCCTCGTAAATCGGACGCTGGTCGCAGCGTAAGTCATCGTCGGAGACGGCGCCGGAGGTGTCCTGCGCTGTCTCGTCTGCCTGCTCGGGGGAGCCGACCGTCCTGTCGGCGAAGGAGGGCTGTCGGTCGCCGTAGTTGGCCGGCCATAGGCTGGGGCCCGCCCATGGTGCCTGCTGCGCTAGGTCTGCGGCCACCAGCGGGAGAAGCAGGAGAGGCAACCTGCAAGCAGCGAATCTCTGAGTGCATCCCGCAGAAAGAGGAAACAGGATACAGCAATAAAACTAAATAAGAATAAAGGCGACAAATATCTGTAGTAAATAAGCTAACATAATGACGAGAATATGAATAATAAATTAATGTAAGATTATAGAAATCAGTAACTTTTGTTATTTCCCATTGCTGCCAAGAAAAGAAAAGAAACGCGTGACAAAGTATTATCCAATGAATTTCGTTTTAGAAAAAAATCGGAGAGTGCTCAGTCAGCCCCGCAACACATTTCGCTGGAAAGTGACAGAAGTCTAACCTCACCGCCTTTTTCTCTCCCCCATCCCCCCTCTCTCTTTTATTTCCAACTTTTCCATCATTCCCTCTTTCGTCTATACCTCTTTAGCGACTGGCAATTGTATGTAACGCAAACATAAGATACATCTGAGAGGGAACATGGGACACCAGTACCTAGTAGTGCACATACATGTAGGCCTACACACACACACCACACACACACACACACACACACACACACACACACACACACACACACACACACACACACACACACACACACACACACACACACAACACACACACCACACATGCACATGCGCACACGCAGCGCACACACACAGCCAGACACAAACACCAAAAACACTCACACACACACACACACACACACACACCACACACACACACACACACACACACACACACACACACACACACACCTATATGCGTACTCTCAGAATAAATAATACAAATAAAATCTAAGATAAACACAGCTAGACATTTTGAATAAAGGAACGTTTAACCAAATCACAAAGTTTTCATATCTCGGCATATCAGATAATCAAACCTGAAATGAAGGTACAGGACAAGTACATCGATTTAGTCGCGATATTTACCTGACAATCATCGAAATATCGGATATGAGTCTATGCACGTGCTCCTCTCTCGCTTCTCTTTGACAAACTGGAAACACCTTTGATGATTAAGTCATGCAATAATCGTGTAAGGCAGTATTAAGGATTTATCATTTGCTTTTGTTCCTCTTATTGGTACTGCTTTTTATCATCATCACAGGGAAGTAATTAATTTCTCAGTTATAAAGTGTCATTAATTCAAGCTTTGATTTGATTGACCGATCTCTACTGAATATTCAGGAATATCGCCTTCATCACTATGGAAATCCCTACTGTAAAACCCACTGATATCAACTGCCTATTGTAAAGCCCATGAACGTTCAAGGAGATGATCATTGGCGCTTTAGAGAGTTTATAAGATTCGAAATCATGAGGTAAACTTAATATTCGCTGAAAAATACGTGTCTCACAGCAGCTCTACGATTTTCAGGAAAAAAATATTTTGCCTTTGTTTATGTAATATTTAATTAACAATCATGTCGCCAATATTATCCTGTTCTATCTATTTATTATTTCCAGGTAGGAGCTATATCATCTGATTATTACGGAAGAGTAGGTCTGATCACAGTTTAATTAGAAAGCACACACACGTGGAACTGTGTTATCCTTATCATCATTATTACTATAACTATTGTTATGATCATCATCATCGCTATTTTCATCAATATCATAATTATCACATTATTTATTATCACCATTATTATCATTATTACCATTACAGTACTACTGCTATTACTACTGTTCCGATCATCTTCATCTTTACTGACGTACGATTTTCATTTTTATTATCATTACAATTAATGTTATGTCCAACACTTTACCATATTAAATGTA